CTTAGGATTTGTGGACTTGCGACTCCCAGAATCCCCCAGTTAGGAAAACAATCTTAAGATGGTTGGACTTGCAACTCCCAGAATTCCCTAATCAGTTTTGGGAGTTGAAATCTTAATGTTGCCATACTGGCTGGGGAACTCTGGGAGTTGAAGTCCGTGCATCTTAAGGTTGTCATGCTGCTGTAAATTCAAACGAAAACCTAAACAAATGGTTTAAGTCAAGGACCACCTGTTCCAAGAGTTTTCCACCCGTTTCCACCTCCCTCTGTTAAAATAAAGCCCGTTTACAGAGCTTGCTCTAATGCCACCCACCCCGTAAACCGTCCCAGGAGGTTTCAGGTCTCTAACCCACACCTTGTCTTCTTGTTTTGTGCCAGATTTAGCTTCTTCTCCCGCGACAAGAGACGCCTGCAAGCTACCCAGCGAAACCCCTCCTTCCACGGCTCCTTCGGCGAGTGGGCCGACCGAAACAAAGACGACGTCTACACCGAACAAGGTTTAGAAGCTCTGCAGCACCTGTGACCCAAACCCAGAACTCCCGCTTATACCGAGGCGCCGAACGCAGAAGCACATAAGCCCCTCGGGTGGCGAATGGCGCCGGTCCACCCACTCTACCCATCTTTCCAGGCTGTTGTCAGCTCAGGGTGCGGGGAAAGATGCATTAAACCAGAATTAGCGCTCCAGATTCGTCCTGCAAGCAATGGAATCGCCGTCTGGATTTGGGAAGCAAAATGCAATATGCCATCGTTTTTGACTTCTGCTGACTTGTGGGTGAACGTCACATCACCAATGCTTCCCTTTATCCGTTTCCCCTCTCAACATTTTTTTAAAAAATAGGATCTGGGCCATTCCTGAAGAAATTCCCTGCTAAGGACCGATGATCTTTAGACACACCCTTATTTGAAGGGCATTTTTTTTTAAAAAAATAATATTATTTTGTTCCCCTCTTCCCCTCTGCTTCCGCCTGCTAAAACTTCCTGCTCCACATCTCAAGCAGAGTTTTGCAGAAACCTTCTGGCATTACTTCTGGAAAGGGGAGCTGCTCTCTTTAAACACAGATTCAGGAGGAGATATATTTTGTGGCTTATTTATAGTGCCTGCAACGTGCTGCCTTGTGTTTTGCTCTGAATTCTTTTGACATGGGATGGCGACTGAACAACTGAAATCTATCTTAATCCTTTTTTTTCCCCCTTTTAATTACGATTTTCACCGACCTTTGCAGCAGCAGCAAAAAAATAATAATAATATTTCACCCCTGTTCTTCTGTGTGAAGGCAGTCGCTTCAATCCAACACACCGACTTCAGTTTGACAAGTTTTGGGAACAGGCCACCAGCTGCTTCTGGAACAGGTTCCCTTCCACTCTTTCTGGATGAGATCAAAGAGGTTTAATGGGTCTGAATTTGGTGCACGATCGCTGGAATTAAATATGAAGATTGAGGGACAACGGGGAAAAAAAATTGAAAGGGGGTTTATTTCCCCAACCTGAGGAGGGGAAAAAAGCGGGGAGTTTTTTCACTTTAAAAGGTGTGGACTTTCAACTCCCAGAATTCCCCAACCAACAGGAAATGCTCAGGACACTTCTAAACACATCCAAACAGCCCTTTATGAATTTTAAGTTGCTTTGCACACTTCACGGGTTAACCCTTTACTGAATATTCCCCCACCCTCTGTATTCTCTCTTAACACAATTATCTGGGATGGTTTAGGGCAGGGGTGTAAAAACTTGGCAAATTTTAAGACCTGTGGACTTCAATTCCTAGAATTCCCCAGCCAGCCATGCTGCCTGGGGAATTCTGGGAGTTGGAAGTCCACACAAGTCTCAACAGTTGCCGATTTTCGACAGCCATGCTCTCTAGGATAACAGCAATCATGCAACCACAGGATATGCAAAGAAGACGCTTAAGTTTTTATTCAAGATTCAGGGTGTTAGATAGTTAAAAGGCAATAAAGAAGATTTGGCTGGGACTAGTAGAGAGAACAATATCAAACCGTAGAACTCTTTTTAATATGCTAAATAAACTTATTTCTGAATTAACAAGAGGCCTCCGGGTGATTTCACTTGACTGGTAAATGGTCTTTTGGTCCGAGTCCTCCCACATCCCATCTCTACAATTCAATCCCACCTCACTTTTTAGGGCAGGGGTCTTCAAACTTGACAGCTTTAAGACTTGTGGACTTCAAACTCCCAGAATTCCTCCTCCAGTCATGTCAGCTCAGGAATTCTGGGAGTTGAAGCCCACAAGTCTTAAACTTGCCAAGTTTGGAGACCCTTGTTTTAGGGTAACAGCTACCCTTCTGCCTTGAGGAAGCTTTCAAGGCCTTATTTTAATCCAGACCTTTTCAAGAATTAAAGGATGTGGGATGGGAGTGGCAATCCTAAACCATCCCTCTCTCCTTTTTTGGCACTTCAGCTATAACAGGCGGTAGTATCAATGTTGAGAATTTGGGATCCGTCGTTCAGCAGATCTTGGAATAAGACACAGGCGCGACGATCAAGCGAGGGCACAACATTCACTCTTCTCCAGCTGGGAAGCTGCCATTCCTGCCACAATGTCTCTGCTGGTTCCAGACGACCAACCACCTTGGCTCAGAAGCAAGTTCTATGCTTCTGATGTTCTCCTTCAACTGAGCAGCGTTTGACGAAAATGTCCCATCGGTGTGGCGCGGCCTTCATCCCTTGCCGTCTTTGGCCTCGCGGTTCCGGTCTTTCCTCTCCCGCTCCCTCCCTTCCGTGGCTCTGCCTCCTCGGTCTTCCCTGACGCGGTGTTCCAGGTGTCGCTCGCTCTTGCCGTATCCCCACGACCGTTCCCGTTCCGATCGCCGGGGCTCCCGGCTTCGCTCGTAATCTCGTTCCCCGGCCTTCCGATCCCTCGAGTCTCCCCGGGACCAAGCCCGCTCCCTTTTCCCCTCGCTGTAAAAATCGTTCTTCATGGCAGGCAAGTTGATGGGCTTCCTAAAAGGCCTGTCTCTGCCTCCGAACCGCAGCTGGCCCGATTCCTTCTTCCCTCCGAAACCACCTCCAAGCCTACGGGGGATCCACCCTTTGAGGCTCCTTTCCAGCTCAAAGTCGACAAAGATTTCCCGCTGGTCGATGATCAGCTTGTTGGCGTCGCGGTGGGCTTTCAACAGGGCCCGTTCCTCTTTGTACTCGATAAAAGCGTAGCCTTTGGAGAAACCCGTAACCAGATCCCGAACCAGGCGGATTTTCCGAATGTCTCCGTACCGGGAGAAGACCTCTTTTAACTTCTCTTCCGTGGTTTGCAGGTTGAGACGGGCTACAAAGAGGGTCAGGTGAGGGTCTCCGGAAACGTCTTTGTTGGGGACATAGCGGGCTGACATGGCCCTCCAGACCGCCCGGTCGTGAGGCTCTTCATCGGTGCCATCGATGCTTCCGGCTTTGAGGGGGTCGTACTCCTTAGCGATGGGCACCCACTCGTTCATTGCTGGAGGAAAATGTACTTATTTAGCATACGGCAGATCACAGGCAGACTAGCAATACATAGGAAGGTTTCACCTAGGTTATTAAACCACAATAAAACACAGGAAGCTCTTGATTTACGAACCACAATTGAGAATAAAAATTTATGTTGCTAAATGAGGTATTTGTTAAGCGAGTTTTGCCCCGTTTGTGCCCCACAGATACAGGGTAACCACGACTGACCGTGATGGATGAAAGTGAGTGGCTTCCTTCTCTTTAAACCATGTGGGCAGACAGGTAGCAATGGGTGGGTCCATCCTGGAGCTGCTTTCCTCTGCTTGCTTCATACTTACTCTGTGCTTACTCACAAGGATCCTTGGTGCTCTCTGAGCTTGGTTGTTTTCTTGAAGACATTTCATGACCCAACTAGGGAACATTATCAGGGCTAGAAGGAAGAAGGATTTGCTCTCTGTTTATAGACAAGCGGCTTGCCATGTCAGTGTTGGTGGGAGTGGTGTTTTCTTCTTGATAAGGCTGTTTGCTTGTCTGTATTGTTCATTTCTTGATTAGGTAGAGTGTTGTTTACTGCTTGTATATAAACAGGGAGCAAACCACACTCCCTTTAGCATTGATGATGTTACCTAGTTGGGTCATGAAGCATCTGCAAGTAAACAACCAAGTTTAAAGAACACCCAGCACCCCTCGGTCCTTCTTCTCCTCTCCCTTCCTTCCTTCCTTCCTGTCCTTCCTTCCTCACCCCCACTCCCTTTAGCACTGACTATGTTTCCTAGTTGGGTCATGAAATGTCTGCAAGAAAACATCCAAGTTCAAAGAGCACCCAGGACTCCTCAGTCCTTCCTCTGCCTCTCCCTTCCTTCCTTCCTTCTTTCCTTCCTTCCTGTCCTTCCTCACCCCCACTCCCTTTAGCACTGACGATGTTACCTAGTAGGGTCATGAAACGCCTGCAAGAAAACCACCATGTTCAAAGAGCACCCAGGACTCCTCAGTCCTTCCTCTCCTCTCTCTCCCCCTTCCTTCCTTCTTCCCTCCCTCCCCTCCCCTCCTCCTTGCACACCCCATTCCCCTCTAGCACGGATGATGTTACCTAGTAGGGTCATGAAACGCCTGCAAGAAAACCACCAAGCTCAGTGAGCACCAGGGACCCCCCCCCCCCCCCCCCACCCCCGGGAGCCAATGCTCCCCCCCCCCCCACGTCCCTCCCCGCCCCCAATATCCCCCCACGACCCTCCCCCAAATTGTGACTTTGCAAGAACGAAACAGACTCACTTCTGCCTGCAAGAAACCTGGAAGAGGGGTCTAACTTCGTTTCCACCTGAGCAGATTCGTCAAGAAAGAGATTTTTCTATTTTTTTCTCCTCCTCATAGAAGAGGGATTTTTTTTCCCGGGTCTGGCAATACGAAAGTTTTGCTTTTTAAATTCAAGGTCTTTTTTTGTTTTTAAAGAGAGAATTAAAATAAAATAAATCCCACCCTTTGCTAAAGGCCAACAAAGGTGGGCGAATCGACCAGTGGGGAAAAGAAGACTCGTTGGCCTCCCTCCAAGGTTTACAGTCCGCACCAGCGCCCTCTGGCGGCGGGAGTATCTCTAACAGGCGTTTGGGCCCCGCCCTCGAGTCGAATACAAAACTATAAAAATCTACAAAACATAATAATACATCCGTTTAAATAGAAAAAAAAAGCTGAAAAGTCTTTCTCCCTGATCCCAAATCCAGTGCTTTCCCATCGTCTCCCTAGCCAACAAGCCAGAGAGGGGGAAACTGGAAGCTTTCAAGAAGAGAAGTAGGAGCCAGCGGTGTGCAGCAGCCATCAAAAAAGCCAATGCAATCCTAAATTGTATTAACAGAGAGATACAACCCTGATCAGGGGAGGTACTAATACCACTCGATAAAGCCTTAGTAAGACCACGCCTAGAGTCCTGCATCCAGTTTTGGTCACCACATTATAAAAAAGATGTTGAGGCTCTAGAAAAAGTACAGAGAAGAGCAACCAGGAGGATGAGGGGACTGGAGGCTAAAACATACAACGAACGGTTGCAGGAACTGGGCCTGGCTAGTCTAGGGAAGAGAAGGACCAGGGGAGACAGGATAGCAGTTTTCCAATATTTGAGGGGCTGCCACAGGGAGGAGGAAGGGATCAAGCTATTCTCCAAGGCACCCAACGGCCAGACAAGGAATAATGGATGGAAACTGAACAAGGAGAGATTCCACCTGGAAATAAGGAGAAACTTTCTGACAGGGAGAACAATCAACCCCTGGAACAGAAGTTGCCCTTGGAAGTTGTGGGAGCGCCATCACTTGAGACTTTCAAGAAAAGATTGGACTGCCATTTGTCAGAAATGGTGTAGGGTCTCCCGCTTGGGCGGGGGGTTGGACTAGATGACCTACAAGGTCCCTTCCAACTCTTATTCTGTTCTAATAGGCCTTGCGCACATGCACGTTCTCGTGCTGCTGCTGCTGCATTTTGAACATCTGGACACAAAGCTAGCCCAATAAACCTGCATTTCATAAAATGGTGCTAAATTTGTCTTCCGGAACGAACCGTAGCTTTGCGTAGAATTGCAAACAAGGGAAAGAAGATATGTGTGTGTGTGTGTGTGTGTGTGTGTGTGTGTGTGTGTGTGTGTGTGTTATTTATGTTATTCTTTTATTCGTGCCAGTTACAGGCAGAGAAAGGGCACTGGCTGCAGGCCGGCCAGTAGAATTAATGCGAAACGTCATTCCAATGGGGAAAAAAAAACTTGTTCTATGGGCTTATTTTACAGGGGAGGAATACCGAGGCCCAGGAAAGAGAGGCAAATCGGTGTCTGCTTTTTGCTGGCGGAGGAAAGCTTTGCAGGGACTGAAGGCAGGAGCGGGAAAGAGGTTTAAAGCAAAACGACAGGCCTTGGAGAGCCAGCCAGTCCGAGGGGAGCTGCTCCTATGGGCCCATTTTAAAGGGGAGGAATGTTGAGGCAGAGAGAGAGAGAGAGAGAGAGAGAGAGAGAGAGAGAGAGAGAGAG